TACCTTCTAATGCAAGATGCCAGCCTACTTCTAATGCAAGATGCCAGCCATGATCAGAGGGTCTGTACTCATTTTGGATATCTTGGGCTTGTGAATTTCTACATGCTTCCTAAATCTAAAATAGAAATGATATTCGAGCAAGACAACCACTCAGGAAAAGTATATTACCAATGGACAGCTTTGCTGTTAGTGTGATTCATTATAGTACCACTACCGCTACCTAATGGGAAGTTAACTTCTGCACTTACCCTTTGAAGGGCACTCCCTGTATTGACAAAGCCACAGATATAAGTAGATTCTTTGAAGTTTAGCTAAGCATCCTGTTGCAGATATATATATAGTAGTGCAAGTTTGGGAATCGCATGGGCAATTGCTCAGATAGAAACTGCAAGGGGTTTTATTTGGAAAGAAGGGATGGATGATGGTGGGTCTAAGTGTATGTTCACACAACCAAAATGTATGTTAGAAGAACATAAAGGTTGAAAAGCCAAGTAGTCTAATTAGGAAATGCCAGAATTAAGACAACCTTAATTCAGAACCCTTGGGCCTATGAATCATATTTCTTCCCACTGAATTCCTGGCTCATTCAGTGCTCACTTAATGAGCAACTATTTAATATTACATTCCCGTTGTTCAGTGTGCAGTCCCATGCCTTATTTCCTGCACCTTAATCAAACCCTCCTCATGGGCTTTTCTTTGGCACTCATTACAATTGGACAGGCATTCTGGCACTTCCTAATTTTTGAGTGCTTGAGTTTGCATCCTCAGTAATACTCTTAATATATAGGTTTTATTTAAAAAGGCAAAAAAAAAAGGCAGTTTCCATCATGTGGCTTCACACTGACACGCCTATGGGTCATCAACAGGGTAGGGACATTTTGATTCACTGCACAGGCCTCTGCCACTTGAGCTAACAGAGTAACTGATAGGCTGTCATCCTCTACTTTCACAAGCAACAGACTTTGCCACTTGTATAGACACTGACAGCAGAGGAATGGAGAGTTTTGGACTCCATTGCAGGCTTCGGAGAGGAGTATGCTCTAGTAAAGCACAGACCTTCCCCCTCATACCCAATCTTGAGCCCTTCCTGCCCTGTTCCCCTCCAACCTCTCAACTCTAGTCCCACCTGTTCCTCTTCTCTTCACTTAGCCCCAATCTCTACTGGTTACCCTGTCCAGCCTCTCCAAATACTGGCCTGTGTTCCCCACTGGCTCCCACCCCTGCAAATTTGGCTCTTGTTCCCAAATCAGGTAACCTCCAGCACCCAGCTGCCTGGGCACAGCAGGAGGGCACTGAGAGCACAAAGAGGCAGTCTCCCAGTTCTGGTGCCTGGACCCGGGCCCACAATAGCGCAGGGCAGCGCAGAACTACCATTGCAAGGAAACTCCTGTTCAGCACCAGGGTGACGCATGCTCAGAACCTTCCCAGTTCTTAGCTGCAAGCTGCTAACAAGCCTCTACTGAGCATGTGCAAACTGCAGTGTTTCAAAAGTTTATAACGCGGATGAATTTTCACAGAAACAGCAGAAGGCAGATCCCTGGCACCAGACTGCCCCGTGCTAACGTTTGAGTTCCTGCTCCAAAGCATAGCCACAGCTGGGCTTCTCCAAGAAATAATAGCCAGAATTTTTTTAAACATTTTTTGGAAACAAAGCAACATACTGTCCCCTATCCTCTTTCCCGGCCACACCTGAACCACTCTGGCGGTCACTTTCCATGGAAAGTCAGCCTGAGACAGCCAAAAGGCACTAAGCACTTCAACCCCAAATACACGCTACTGCCAACAGCACTGGGCCCTACTTCCCACACGTAAGTGAAGCCCTTAAACAATAATCATCACGGGGCTGCCCAGACGCGCAGGGCTGCAGACGAGGTGGGAGGTGCAGCGGAGAGCCCGGGAGTTTTACCGCAGGACACAGACTGGGGAGCCGGGGCCAGTGGGGGGAAGCAGGGTCGGGGGACGAGGGGGAGGAGAGGAGCGGGTCCGGGTCTCACTCACCCGCGGGCTCAGGGCAACAGATAGACGAAGACGAGCAGCGCCAGATCGAAGAGGACGAAGAGCCACACGTCGAGCCAGTAGGACTGTCCGGAGAGCGACAGGGGGCGGCTGCAGTCGCCATTCGCTGTGGCCGGCGCTGGCTCCGGGCCTCGCTGCCGCTGCTCCAGCCCCGCCGCCTCCATCGCTCGCCCTCCGCGGTAGCTCCTGCTTCGCCTACCAGAGCAAGGCGGAAGTGACGGGGGGCGTGGCCCAATAGCTCATGCGCACCTGTTTGCTCCGGAGGAGGGGAGGCTCTTTGCACCAATGAAAACAGCGGGCGGCCGATTGCTGGGCTGGTCACGTGACCGCTCTACAGCTGGGCAGGGGCGGAGGGCTGCCCCCGCGGCGCTCAGTGTGTGATTCACGGAACGTATCTGCCCAGCTGGCTGCGCTCGCGCCCCGTGCGGGGATGGGGCGCTGCAGGCCTCGCTCTGCCCCCAGGCAGAACTGTGCTTAATAGCTGCGTCCCGCCCCGCCCTCCGAGCCCGTCAGCAGTACCAGAGAAGTACAGTACCCACAGAAAGAATGCTATAGCCAGGGTAAGTCCAGCTCCCACACAAGCTTCAGAAAACATACACCAAAACACAAACCCACATGCCTCAGGGCATAAGGCATCCACTAACTGGGGGGCTTAGCAAATTCTCTTATATGAGCATGTTATTCCACGGTTGCCCGTTACGGTGATTTTGCATGTTCCTGTGGGTCCATGTGTACTGGCCACTGCCCCACAGCAGAGGTGACTAGATGGACCACAGCTGTTATCTGATAAATAAATTATGTTTCCATCATTTTTTAAAAGAAATTGCTGCCTAAAAGATGTAACATCAGTGAAACATTCCTTCTTCTGTTCCATCCATCCCAACCTTCCAGAGATGGCAGCAGCGATGCCAGGATGGAAAGTGGCTTTAAGAACAAATGATCCCCAGCCCATGCGTAGTTCCCATTTATACTAAAATGGAAACGGTTAGCCCAAAGTATTTTTAAATATGGTTTAGTTTTGTTCTAGTCTAGCCCAGGAAACTGTATCAGCACATTTCTTGGAAGAGTCATATTTATAAACAGTTGTGGCTAACAGTTTTTTTCTGGGATAAATGGGACTCTAGAGAAACAAACTTTCATAATATTTCAACTATCAAGCACATGTTTGTATCTACAGAGGTTCATGGAATCTGAGATGGTTTACAAATGTCCTCATGTAGCTGAAACTCTGTGGGTCTTCAACACCATAAAGAAACTATTAGATGTCTACACCTTTCCAATAAAACTACCGCTAAAACTATTTGATGGCTATAATCCAACCTGTTCTACTGTATGTGAATGAAGTCGGGTTCAGTTTAAAACTAGACATAGACCCTGGTTGTCACCTAGCAGACTACCCCATCCCAGTGAAATATGCAAACCTAAGGTACACTCTCACCAAATATAGACTCAGTGACCACAGATTGGAGATTGGAAAGAGGCAGATACGAAGTGCAATAAACCCAGAGAGGAGAGACTGTGCAGCCAATGCAAGAGAGGAATTCTGAGTTAAAGAAATACTTTCTACTAGTATGAAAAAGAGAATATATTTGTTCAAAATGTCAGGAATCAGAAGACTTCTAACCAAAAACTGACAAAGAAAAACTGTGCCTGATCTTCAAAGAAAAGAGCAAGAGATGTCATGATACTGTTTAGCAACCTGCCACTAGATTAGGAATTAGGATTGTCCTAACTCTAAAGAGTTAAAGGTAACTCAGATCTACCAGTGACAAAAGTCTCAAAGTGACTTTTCCCCAAATTGTGCTGAAAGACTTTTAGAAAAATGTGCCAATAAATTTCTGAATAGTAATAGTGGAACCCTCAGTAGAGAGAACTCTGAACAATGGACCTGAAACGCAGGTTAAATCAGTTTTGGCAGAGGCTTATAGCTGGTGTTGCTTCTTTGGGGCAAGTAGTTAGTCAATATTGGAGCCTGCCCTTAAAGGTTGTTTCCATTGGGAGGAGAAATTGGTTACATCAGTCAGGTATTTCTTTGATACAATCCCATTTATTTACAAGAAATGTACACAAAAGCCTGTTTCCCTGAACACACTAGGAAAACAAACAAACAAACAAAAAAACACAAGCAGTTTCCTCACTCAATTTCCAAGTCTGCCCCTCCAGTCATTTCTGTCCCCCATGGAGCTCTGTCTCTGTTCTTTCTAAGGGCTGTGCTCACAACTGCTTCTCTCACTGTCCACTGGCTTTCTCCTTTAACACACAGACAGCTTGCCAAAACAAAACCCTAGCCCCTGCTTGAAAAAGCAGGGAACTTTGAGCCCACAGGGCTGGCTTTTCATCAGGCCTTGCGCTGTGACTTGTCACATTAGGTGGTAGCTTGTACTATTTCCAGCTATCTTACTACCTAAAGCCACTTAATTAGTCCTTAAAACACCCCTGAGTGACAAGTTTTGCTGGCATAAATGCTCACGTGCACAGCACGGTGTCACTCATTGAGCTGGTTTTATTATGTCAACATCAGAGCTCTCTCCTGTCAGCATAACGCGGCTACATGAGCTCTCCTACAGATGTCCCACTGTAAGCTTGTAAGTGTAGACATGGCCTTACTTAACTGGAATTTTATTATGTCTTAATTAAATGGAATGTGTTCTAGACCAGTGGTCTCCAAAGTGGGGTGTGCAAGGGTGCGTGGCAGGAGGAGTGCTTTTTTTTTCTTCGTCAGGCGGGAGTCTGAGCGGCTTTTTCTTTCTTTTTTTTTTTTTTTTTTTTTTGCTTTGGCAAAAATGATAGAGCTGGCGCAGCAGGGGGTGCGTGGTCAAACATTTTTTACTGATAGGGATGCGTGATCAAAAAAGTTTGGAGACCACTGTTTTAGACAAACAAACTGCAGCATCAACATAAGTGTAACTCAAAAATTAATCTGTAGATCTACATACATAATCTAGTTGTAGATAACACCTTTCCTGAGGTAAATCATTTTCTGAATGGGTTCTGAAATTATGACACTCTGCTTTATTCTGCATAGCATGCCAGAAGGAAATAAAGTTTCGTAGCACAACAGGTGATACTTATTCTATTGAAATTATGAAAACGGGGAGAACTGCCATTGTCATGTACTGGCTTAAGTGTGTGATCAGGTTGTCCTTGGCTCACAAAGGGCATAAATGCCTTTCTGTGCTAATGGGGAGTCTCATTTAGCTCAACTGCTAGAGATTTGCGTTTTTGAAGCTGAAGGATGTGGGGTTTTTATTTGATACCACAAATATCCAGCTGATAAGCATGTCTGTCTGACTGCTCTACTAGATTTGTTACATAGTCTCCAGTGAGTATTTATAATACCACCTCATATTCATACACAGTCTCCTTTCTCTGGTATTCAGCAGCAATAAAGTAGTGTCCCTAGCAATCACACCATCACGTGACAACACTTGCAGAAACACATTTCAAACAAACAAGTCAAAACAGGTCCTGTAGCCTAGTGGTAATGTTCTGCACTGCCTTGTAGCAGATACTTACCTTACACTGCTGGGTGTGGTACAAATATCTAGATCAGTAGGAGAGCTCTGTGTAGCCTAGTAGTTAGTCTCTTTCACAAACAGCAATTGGTCCAATAAATGATATTACCTCACCTACCTTGGGTTTCTAGATCAGTAGACTACATGGGTTGGAGTTTATTGCTTTTCTCCCACTTCCTTAGCCAGAAAGGTCTAGGGTTGCAGAAGTAGCATGCTCAATTCAAGGGGAAAGGAAAAGGCATATCAGGAGACTCAATAGTTCTCTCTTAGTCAATGAAGAGAGTGTTCATGGGCTCAAAAACATTTAGTTTGAATCCTTGAAAATTTGGAAGCCTGCTCATTAGTTCTGTCCTTTACAGTATAGTAGTGATATTGACAGCATGCCATGCATCACAGATTCAACTCTGCAACATGTTTTTTGTGATTAGGATTCCAATCCTGAAATTGGTAGGTAGGCCCTCAGACCTGCATGGAACCCTATTGAAGTTAATAGGCACAGGGGTCAATCTACTCACCTGAAGCTCATTGCAGGGTCAGGGCTTTAGTTCTCCCCCTTTTTTTCTTTAAAGGCCATTATCTTTCACCAGTGTGTGTATGGAGATCCATCACATTCAGTTTTGGTCTTGTAGTTGGATTTAAACCAGCAATGAATGTTGTTTACTTCTACATACATTCAGTATCCACTTTTACACATCTTTATTCATGTGATTAGTCCCATTTAAGTTAACATTGCCATCTTCATAATGTATGCTAGCTCCAAAAATATGTTATTGTCTGATGACAACACAGTCAGCCAAGCCCAACAGAGGCTCTTTTATTCCTCTGCCACACAAATGTAAGAAATATGAAAAAGTAACAAAAGTGGTAGCCCTGACCTGGACTGATATTGCAGGGTCCTTCACTTCCTAGTTGCTTAAGTTTTACAAAAAGAACAGGAGTACTTGTGGCACCTTAGAGACTAACAAATGTATTAGAGCATAAGCTTTCGTGGACTACAGCCCACTTCTTCGGATGCATATGGAGTGGAATAAATATATGCATCCGAAGAAGTGGGCTGTAGTCCATGAAAGCTTATGCTCTAATAAATTTGTTAGTCTCTAAGGTGCCACAAGTACTCCTGTTCTTTTTGCGGATACAGACTAACACGGCTGCTACTCTGAAACCTGTCATTAAGTTTTACAGTTCTTCTTTAGCCTCATGGCAGACTAATCCTCTGTTACTTCTCAGAAAAGTTTTCTTTCCCACTCTCTCTTGGGGAGCTGGGGCCTTATTTATATCTTCCAGCTGGGAATCAGAGCCAATCACTAGCTACTGCGTAGCTGGATCAGCTGATTTCCGACACCTGCCTGCTGGGGTTCTCCTTAGGCCTGGGCTTGCTGCTCACTGGTTTCCACAGGTCCTTAAAGGGGCAGGCTGCCCTGATATATATATATAATGAAATAAATTGATATACATAAGTATATTAAAAGAAATTTAGCTAATCCTTAATGTAGGATTGTGTGTCCTATTCTTTATGGCACATTCAACTGGAATATTAGTTGCTGAATCAAACTATTTTTAAAAGTGTTTCATGATCACATCTAACCAGTAGATGGAGCTCTTAGACTCTGTGGAAAATAATAGCTCTGGTAGGTGAAGTTACAGAAACTGCCAAAAAAATTCACCTAATGAAAACATTTTAAATGCCCAGAAGGAAGAAAGTACAGGAAGATTAAGAAAGAAATAGCCAGAATAATTACTGTGTAATAGCTGCTCCAAAGCCATTAATATCACCATAGGTTACTTAAATGTATCCTTTCTGGAAAAGATTCATGGAGGAGCCTTGGGATTTGGAGGCGCCTAGAGATTAGAAGCTGAAAGCGGTATAATACACGGCAGAGTGCTGGCTAGCCATCTGCTGCCAATACAATATCCAGGGAGTAGATGCATCTAGAGTCCAAGGTGTTCACCAGAACCCTAAGGAAATGATATGAACCAAGGGAAGTGGGCCAGGGTTGGAATGGCTATGAGGCAAGCAAGTCAAGCATGAGTAGCACACCTGGGTGGCTACCATGGTAAGTGGTAAAGGTTTGTGGATCCAGGGCCAGTTTAGTCTGAATTCACCTTTTAGCTCTTTTTAAAGAGATGAATGAATCAAATTCCATATTTTTATCAGTGATCTAGGAAAAAAATCATAAAATCATTACTGCTAAAGTTTGCACAACACAAAGATTGGTGAGGCGGGAGATAATGTTGAAGACAGGTCACTGACACAGAGAAATCTTGATCTTTTGATAAACTGGGAACAAACCAGATAAGTGTGTTTTAATACAAATGCAAGATCCTACGAATAGGAACAAAGAGTGGTGAGTTATGAGATGGGTGACTTAATCTTGCAAAGCAGTGACTCTGAAAAAGTCTTAGGGATCCTTGTAGATGATCAACTGAACATAAAACTGGCCCTACTGGGTCAGACCAAAGGTCCATCTAGCCCAGTATCCTATCTTCCGACAGTGGCTAATGCCAGGTGCTTCAGAGGGAATGACTGGAACATGTAATCATCAAGTGATCCATCCACTGTCGCTCAATCCCAACTTCTGGCAAACAGAGGCTAGGGACACCATTCCTGCCCATCCTGGCTAATAGCCATTGATGGACCTATCCTCCATGAATTTATCTTGTTCTTTTTTTAACCCTGTTATGGTCTTGGCCTTCACAACATCCTCTGGCAAGGAGTTCCACAGGTTGACTGTGTGTTGTGTGAAGAAATACTTCCTTTTATTTGTTTTAAACCTGCTGCCTATTAATTTAATTTAGTGACCCCCAGTTCTTGTGTTATGAGAAGTAGTAAACAACACTTCCTTATCTACTTTCTCTACACCAGTCATGATTTTATAGACCTCAATCATATCTCCCCTTAGCCATCTCTTTTCCAAGCTGAAGAGTCCCAGTCTTATTAATCTCTCCTCATATGGAAGCCGTTCCATACCTCTAATCATTTTTGTTGCCAATTCCAATATATCTTTTTTGAGATGAGGCGACCACATCTGCACACGGTATTCAAGATGTAAGCATACCATGGATTTATATAGAGGCAACATGATATTTTCTGTCCTATTATCTATCCCTTTCTTAATTATTCCGAGCATTCTGTTCACGTTTTTGACTGCCGCTGCACTTTGAGTGGATGTTTTCAGAGAACTATCCATAATGACACCAAGATCTCTTCCTTGAGTGGTAACAGCTAATTTAGACACCATCATTTTATATGTATAGTTGGGATTATGCTTTCCAATGTGCATTTATCAACATTAAATTTCATCTGCCATTGTGTTGCCCCATCACCCAGTTTTGAGAGATCCTTTTGTAGCTCTTCGCAGTCTGCCTGGGACTTAACTATCTTTAGTAATTTTGTATGTAATTTTGAACATTAACTCTTGGGTTAATGTTGTGTCAAGAAAGACTAATGCGATCTTTAAATGTATAAACAGGGGAATATCAAACAGAATTAGGGAATTCTTTTACTTACATTTGAATGTGCATTTGTATATTGCATTGGTTAGACTGAAATACTGGAATACCAAGTCCAGTTCAGGTGTCAACACTTTAAGAAAGATGTAGAAAAATTTGAGAGGATTCAGAGAAGGGCTACAAGAATGATTTGAAGACTGTCTTCAATAAATGTGTTATTAAAGAGAAAAAGTTAAGAGAAGTCTTGATCATGATATATAAACACCTACACAGGGAGAAGATAGATATCTGCCACTAGGTGGCTTTTAATATACCAAACAGAGGCATAACGAGATCCAATAGATGGAAGCTGAAATTAGAAAAATTCAAATTGGAAGTTAGATGCAACTTTTTAACAATGAGAGGACAACTATTGGAACTGCTTGTCAAAGGCTATGGTAAATTCATAACGACTTGGAACCTTTTTGTGGATTTTGGATGTCTTTCTGAAAGAAGTGCTCTATCTCAACCACAAGTTAGTGTTTACTTAAATAGCGGAGAAGAATAATTTCTCCACTGTAGGAATTACTAGGTTAAATGCTATGGCTGTGTTATACAGAAGGCCAGATTGGATGATCATAGTATACTCTTCTGGCCTTAAAATCTAAGAATCTATAAACATCGCAGATAGTTGCCCTATTTATCAATATTCATGTTCTTTGAGCATTTAACCAGCCATTCCACATCTGCTGCTGCCAGAAGTGCTGACAGACCTGAGCTAGAAGAGTTAAGCAGTACAGCTAGATTTACAGCTTGGCTGGCAGAAACCTCAATCCCTTTCCTCCAAGTCCTGCTGGAGGAGAGGACATATCCCAGCTCTCCCCTCCACTGGCCTCAGGCTGAGGAAGGCAAAGGTTATCTTCAGTCCGATCTAATTCCTTAGGGCTCTTGGAGGGTAAGGAAGATGATTTCTGGTGCGTCAGTTTCCCAAGGCTGCTTGGATATCTGATTCCTAGACAGCCCAGGGGAAGAAAAAGTTGACTTGTGCCAGGACACAACCTTCTCCTATAAACTTCTCTAGGGATCAACCAGTGGACATGTTTCCCCTATCCTGATTCTTTAGGGAGCCAGTCTGGTATGGCTGCTCTCCCCAGACACTCGGTTCAAGCATTGCCTGAATGGGGACAGCCTCCCTTTCACTGAGTTCTTCTGCAGCAGGACATAGAGCTAACCTCTAGGTTTTGCAGTGGGGACCATTGTGTCTTACTCCCCAGCCCCACCCCACCCCTTTCCTCCAGAAGTCAATATAAGGTAAACAAAGGGAGTCCAGTCCTGCAGCAGGGAGGTAGAAAGTCAGCTCAAATAATAATCATATTCAGGTGCGGGTGTTTCCAAATATCAGGACCACTAAATATGAATCTCTTTTTTGAAAAATGGGCTATTTGGCCACCTCCTCCATACTTGCCACTGCAATATCTGGCATGCATGTAATAGAATCACAGAAATGTAGGGTTGGAAGGGACCTTGAGAGGTCATCTAGTCTAGCCTCCTGCGCTGAGGCAGGACCAAGCAAACTTAGACCAGCCTGGCAGGTGTTTGTCTAGCCTGTTCTTAAAAACCTCCAATGATGGGGATTCCACAACCTCTCTTGAAAGTCTATTCCAATGCTTAACAAGCCTTATAGTTAGAAAGTTTTTCCTAATATCCAACCTAAATCTCTCTTGCTGCAGATTAAGCCCCATTACTTCTTATCCTACCTTCGGTGGACACAGGGAATAATTGATCGTCATTCTCTTTATAACTGCCTTTACCATATTTGAAAACTATCAGGTCCCCCTCAGTCTTCTTTTCTTAAAACTAAATTAACATGTCCAGTTTTTGTAACCTTTATTTGTAGGTCAGATTTTTAAAACCTTTTATCATTTTTGTTGTTCTCCTCTGGCCTCTCTTTCTTTATCTGGATGCGCTACTCCAGGTGAGGCCTCAACGCATTTATAGATCTGTTTCTTATTGCCTCTTATGTCCCAAGGTGTAGCTCATTTTGTGCCTTAGCTTTTCTGATTTTGTCCCTACATTTGTATGCTACTCTTTTGTATTTATCCTTAGCAATTCATCCATGTTTTCACTTTTTGTAGCATTCCTTTTTGTTTTTTCAGGTCACTAAACAGCTCTCACGATTCTTCCTATTTTTCTTTTAAATCAAGATAGTTTGCTGTTGTGGCTTTAATATTATCTCTGAGAAACTGCCACGTCTCCTGAACTACTTTTTCCCTTACCTTTTCTTCCCATGGGATCTTACCTACCAGTTCTCTGAGTTTGTTAATATCACTGAATGCATCTCAATTTCCTGTGCTGTGTTGGAAAGAGACTTTGGTTGTACTCTCTTATCTTATTTAGCAAAGTTTCATGACAATCCCATTGGAAAAAATCACTATTGAAAAGGCTAGTGAATATAGAAGGAAAAACACAGAAGGTCAAATCTCTTTTGAATTGGCCCAATACACAGATCAGATCAAATAATAGGTAGTTAGATTAGATTACAGCTATGGTATCTACAACCTGCTCCAAAATGTTAAAGTAAAAATATTAGAAAAGAAACTAGATAAGGGCATGGGCTACATATATCTCTATTAATTTAAAATTGATTATTGGATTTTCTGCCCTAGAGAAGCTTTGTTATTGCACGACTTCATTGAAAAAACATACCAGTAAATGTACAGTAAGGGCCTGATCCAACTCCCATTGATACCAGCAGGAGTTGGATTGATCTTTCTTGGAGATGAACTATATTACCAGAGTCACAATCTTTACAGCTACAGACACACAAACTTCCAGGAGTTATGTACATGGAAGGGCTGCAGGATCTTGGGGATTTGTTTTTTTGAGGGGGAGGTTATTTGTTTTTTGTTTGTTTAAAATATACAACCAATATGATTCAATATACAATACATGGAGAAACATTACAACAACAAACACCTTTTATGGTGATAAAAGCAAAATGCCACTTGAAAAATCAGTGCAGAAACAGTATTTATTTTCATTTACAAAATGTAAATAGTTTTCACAGCCCTTAACAATGCCATATATCAAAACAGTTATTGATGTATAATACAAATATGAAATATTGGAAGGACTGGAAATGCAAAATGTTGGCCTGTGTTTAAATCAAGACTGATCAATCAGTAACTTGGTGCTTGTTGGGAAAGGGAAACAGTTGCCATATACAACATGATTCTTCTCCCATCAGATTTCTTTCTGGGCTTGAGGTTTAAACCCTTTTAAAGATTCTCTTGGCTTCAACTCCTTCATATATGTAAGTCTGAAAAAGATTAATGAAGAGGAAAAGGCTTTCATCACTGACTATTTCCATTGAGATTTATTTTACAGTTCCCATCAAGAGAGTTTTTATTATCCATCACAGGTTTACAACCTAAGGGCTCAGTCCAGCTACCACTACATCAGTAACCCTCACTCATATGAGTAGTTCCATCAAAATCAAAGAGAAAGACTATAGTTCAGGACTGTGGATTTTTAAAATCTTCAGACCTAGACCTGCACTCCCTTACTTAGGCCTGGTCTACACTAAAAAGTTAGCTTACCCCAGCTATATTGCTTAGGGGTGTGAAAGCTCCACAGCCCTGAGCAACATAGGTAAGCTAATTTAACTCCCACCGTAGACAGTGCGAGATCGACAGAAGAATTCTTCCATCAATCTAGCTACTGCCTCTAAGGTCTACAGTAGGGGATTGGTCTAAATTATGCAACTTCAGCTACGTGAATAACGTAGCTGAAGTCGATGTACTTAGACCTACTTACGGTGTCTTCACTGCAGTAAGTCGATGGCTGATGCTCCCCCGTCGACTCTGCCTATGCCTCTCGCTCCAGTGGAGGACCAGAGTCGATGGGAGAACACTCAGCAGTCGATTTAGCGTGTCTAGACTAGACGCGATAAATCAACCCCCGCTGGATCGATCACTGCCCGTTGATCCAGCAGGGAATGTAGACAAGCCCTCAGAGAGGTAGATTACCTACACTGACAGGAGAACCCCTCCTCAGGGGTGGCAGGTTTGTATAATTTTTGGTGGTGCCCGAACTGGTCCAAGTCGCGCCCCCCTCCCCCACACACACACCTGCCTTGTAAGCTGATATATATTTTTTAAAATAATGTTAAAATGGACTGGAAACAGTAAGTGTTTAACAATTTCCCTATATTGCACAATGTAGGGGGATGAGGGCTCTGGATGGGGGTGAGAGCTCTGGGGTTTGGTGTGTGGGAGGGGCTCAGGGCTAGGGCAGAGGGTTGGAGTGCGGGGGGGGTGAAGGTTCTGGGGTAGGGTAGGGCTGGGGATGAGGAGTTTGGGGTGCAGGCAGGCTGTCCCGGGGCTGCGGCCAGAGAGGAGGACTCCACAATCCCCCCAGGTTTCTCCCCCATGGCAGCACACTCACCCGTCACTGTCACTGGACATGCTCCTAGGGGTCGAGCCCCTCTCACCTCCAGGAAGCCCCCTTGCCTCCCCTGTGGTGAGTGCCGGAGGGGAAGGGGAGGGCTGCCATCACGTGTGTGCCTCCTCCTCTTCTCCCTCTGCAGATGGTGGCTGTGCTGCACCTCAGCCTGCTGCCAGTGCTGCTCCATTTTGTAGCCGTCAGCGGCCGGCGAGGGAGCACAGCATGAAGCGGCAGGGCAGCTGCCCAGGGCGCAGGCAGGGATGCTCCGGGGGAGGCACGTGGGTGCAGTAGGTGGGTCTGGGGGAGGCGCACGGGGCGGCAGGTGGAGCCAGGGGAGAGACCCGGCCCCAAACATTGGTGGAGCTGGGCCCCCGGGCCCTGAATTTGCTGGAGCACAGGCACCAGAAGCCCATATAACTCACCGCCCCTACCCATCCCGCTGGGGTAAGTAACATCTGCACTGACATGTTACAGTGGCACAGCTTCAACACTGCAGCTGTGCCGCTGTAGTGTTTCAAGTGTGTACAAACCCTTAAGCCAGGCTTGAAGATTAAGACTGGCTCATTAAGGGAGGATGGAAGTTTTGTGGTTATGACACAGGAGTGGATCTCAAGGTATCAGATTTCAATGCGCAGCTCTGCCATAGGCATCTTGTGTGATTTGGGATGTCATTTAATATAACTACCTCTAAAATATGGGGATTATATGCCTTTTCTACTCACAGGGGTGTGTGAAGACATATTCATTACCGGTTGTGAGGAACTCAGATCCTAATGTGAGAATGGCCTTATTAGAAACTAACAGATTCAGGACCTTTGGTCAGAATGAGCATGAACTCAGTAGTGGGCTCCTTTAGCGTTAGCTCAGGCTGCACTCAGATAATTGAAATGAATGCAAGTGGGTAGGAAAATAGAAAGATTAGAGTAAGTCAAAAAAGTTCAATATTTGAAATTCAGTGGTTTTTTGAATTTCAAATTTTGAATAAAAATAGGATTTTAAAAAAATAAATTAATGATACAGCCCAGTTTCAAGCAGCTTTAAGAGAGGGCTCAGTTCTTTATAGTTTGATGCTGTGCATAAAGGAAAAAAATTGCCTTAACTCACCTGAATTAATTCATCTCCTACGATTTCTCTGAATGCTTTGAGCTCTTTCCCGTTATCTTTCCGGTTGAATTTTCCCACAAGCTTATTTCCTTCCAGGTTCCAAGTACCCTACAGTGTAAAAATAAAAAAATCCAAGGAATTCACGACAATGTTGATATTGTATATGTATTCTCTGGCTGTTAAAAAAGCACCAAAGAGGTAAAGCAATTGAATATCAGGTTTTTGCAAAATGGCAGGTACAGTAAAGGAGTTTTACCCCCCCCCACAACAACCAAAGCACTTCTAGTTTTGATTATATATAAACACATACATACATACATACATATATATATATATATATATATAAGCATTCTTTTAGCTTGTCACTTTGACCATGTCACCCCTCTCTTTGCATCCCTCCACTGACTCCCCCATCTCCTTTATATCAAATATAGCTGCTTATCTTCACTTTCAAGGCCCTTCACAGTCAATATCCAGCCTATATATCATCTCTCATTCACTATTGAGCTGTCTGTGCTCACCTCTGATCAGCCCATGATGCCAGCCTCCACTGCTCACTTGTTAAATTTCCAGACAAACACTTGCATGCTTTCTCCCAGACTATCCCACATGCTTGGGACTTGCTCTCCATAAACTACCACAAAGTTGCTTCGTTATCCACCTTCAAATCCCTGCTCAAAATAATTTTTCTATGATGTATAGATAAAGCTTGACAACAGTCAGGCTGCTAGTGTGCTCACACCACTGCCTATCATGCAGACCAATATTGTCTCATTGTTTCCTTGTATTCCCCCACTTCTCTGTAACCATCTGTTGTCTCTTGTATTATAGTTAGAATGTAAGCTTCTTGGGGCAGGGAACATCTTTTTGTTCTGCGTTTGTATAGACTCTAGCACAATGGGGCCCTGGTCCAGGACTAAGGCTCCTAGCTCCTACAGTAATATAAATAATATAATATTTATTGTGTAAATACAGTTCTCCTTCCCACAGAGCTCATACACATAATTAAATGAATACATTAATCTGCCTCTTTCTTTGACATAGAAAGAATAGTCCCTCACAAATAATCAATTCCATTTCATTCTCTATCACACCCTACTGTGGACTCTGACCCTTCCTACTTCTCAGACAAATGTCTGAGAGAGACAGTGGGTGTTTCATTGCACTCAAAGAGCCACAAGACCCTTGCTTCACCAGACCAGCTCAGGCAATGAATTGCAGAATTAGGGGCCTTGTAAGAAGGCTCTGCCTACAACCCTATCATGTTTAAAGCTAGAGGATGAAATCCTGGTTCAATTACAGTCAATGACAAAACTCTCCTTGACTTCAGTGGTACCAGCATTTCACCGAAAGCCTCTTTGGTCAAGCCCTCTAACTGATTTCAGTTGCCATCGTGGTTCATGTGGCGGGAGATTGTCTCTCAGGTAGCCAGGACCATGCCAGATTGTATTTCCTACAGTAATGTCAACACTTGGACATTGCTCAAGCAAACATGAAACAAGTGCAGTTGCTAAAGGGAAGGTGTAATACACTCCTGTTAGCTCACATCACATTGATATCCTTGTTCGTTGTGAGGGATTTGATTTTTACATAGAGCAAGAGAATAAATGTTTCATTGCTCTGGCCTTATGCCTAGAGAGACAGATTCGGCTCTCTGCTACATGGGTTCACGTTCCCTAGACAGAGTCAAATTTAAAATAAAATCAGAAAGATGAATAAAACATCCCAGCGATAACTATATTAAATACAGGCTTATCATATAAAAGTGGATTTCTCACACTGAGCTCAGTTCCATCAGCCAGGCTGTATTCAAAATTGACTCCCAGCATGAATATTATTTCTATGGTGCGGAAAGTACTTGATTCCTTGACAGTGAATTTGTTTCCCTCCTGCTGAATAGTGATCTTCAGGTTGTCGTGGGCTCCTAGCTTTCTTTTCATTACGTTAATACCTAGAAAAACAAATGGACATCAAGCAACTTATATTGCAGCATCAGATTTGTATATTTTCCAGTCAGGGCTGGCTCCAAGCACCAGCCCAGCAAGCAGGTGCTTGGGGTGGCCAAGGGGAAGGGGTGGCACGTTGGGCGGTTCCGCGGCAATTCGGCGCCGGGTCCCTCTTGGAGGGAAGCACCTGCCATCGAATTCCCGCTGAAGAAGAAAGCGGCGCGGTGGAGCAATTGCGATCGCGGCCTTTTTTTATTTTTTCCGCCGCTTGCGGCAGCAAAAACCCTGGAGCTAGTCCTGTTTCCAAGGACCTTTTTTGGGCAAGTGAATTTAATAAATTATGGGCCTTACTGGAGCTCTCTGGTCCAGGTTCTTCACCTTCATCTTTCACTTTGTGTAGCCATTTTCACGTGTGCAAAGTTAGTGCAAGACACTGCCAAAGAGAATGATTGCATTTCCCACCCACTTTGCTGAGGTTTAAATGACTACACAGGGTGCAAGGCAGTGGTGAATCAGCCTTTCTTTGACTGGTCATGCCTGCAGAACTTAATCTCTATTTTTCTTTTTCTGTTTTAGCTCCAGGTTCTTAATCTTTCAGTATGGTGACTTGTGTTTGTGAGTGCACTTTGACTGAACCAAACTCATTTCAATGTGATTTTCCCCATTGATGATTTAATCCTATGGCCAAAAAAGAAGGGAATTCCCAATCTCTCCCTTCCTCCCTCCCACCCCCCGCCTTGAGCAAGTAAACAAATCAGAAATTAATTAAATATCACAAGACATAAATGATTGCTTAGCTATATATTGTCTTCCCTATTTCTAAAACTGCACATGAAAATTCCTCTTCACCCTTCCAGACATTGAAGCCCATCAGGCATAATAGGGGATATTCTCAAAAGCAGCTTCTAAGATGGGGTGCCCAGTTTTAGGCACCTAAATTACAGGTCTTTACCAGTCGGCATGTTGCCTGCGGAAATTTACATTTCAAGGAATATTTCTGCAGTAATCTACCTTGCTCTCTTTCTGAACTTTATGGAAAAGTGCTATAGAATTTAATAGGGATGGAACCAAATGCAGTCTATAGGAAATAAATAGGTTCTCTAGAAATTAGTCTAAAACCTGAATATTAAGAGAGAACTAGGGTGACCAGACAGCAAATGTGAAAAATCGGGACGGGGGTGGGGGGTAATAGGATCCTATATAAGAAAAAGACCCAAAAATCGGGACTGTCCCTGTAAAATCAGGACATCTGGTCACCCTAGAGAGAACAATCTTTCTATGTGGTTTTAAACCAACTTATAAAATGTAATAGAAAATCATATTCTTGCTATAGAATTATACAGGAAGATTATCATTCTTTTAAATTCTATAGGACTTTTCCATAATGAGAAAAAAACTTCAATGAAGTGGGAAATTTTTTTTGAGTTATGCTAGTGTAAATCAGGATAGTTACACTGGCATTAAGAGAGTTACTCCAGAATTCAGAATCTGCCCCAGTGTCTTGATGCTGTCTCTTTCTACGGTGGAAAAAAATGATTATTCTGGAAGAAAATATGAGGTAGTCAGCAGGTGGGCAGGGTAGCAGAGAGGCAGTTAACAGGAGGAAGACCAAGGGCAGCACTAGCATTCAATGATTGCTCTTAGACAAAAATGAGGCACTGGAAAAGTAAAGCTTACCCATCTGCTCCATGAATTTTTCATAGTTTTCACTTCTGTCTACCTTCCAGTTGCCATCGAATGCCATTTTTCTGACTGAAGTGGGAGTTCCTTGAGGCAGCTTCTAGTCAACCTGAGATGCAGCTCGGCTTTAAAAAGGGAATTTATGATCTGTCTTATCTTTACAGGATGATGTGGCTGGCTAAAGCTCAGCTCATCATGTGACCTCTTCAAGGTCAAGTTATTGGATATTCAAGTGACCTCTCTTTTCTCCCCATCTTGTCAAACTATGAAATGCTTGACTACTCTGTCTTAAAAGATATAATAGTTATTGTGTTCACGTTACATGTGACATTACAATGGTGGTGAAAAGTGGCAATTCACTGAAGTTACTCTACTGCTCAGGTGAATAGTGCCAGCTGACTGGGTTTAGCTCCAGGACTTGCTAGATTGGACTTTGGCTGATACACTGTATGATTGAGTGATTGCTCCCTACACATAGAATTATAACAGTGCCAGATGTCATTGAAATAGTTCGAGCTTCTCTATCTTTGCAGATTGCAAGACAGAAGGTAAATTTTCATTAAAAGTGTAACTTCAAAATCAACTAAGATAATTATTTGGACTGTTATATCAGATAATTTAGAATGGCTTTTCACTCCAGCCAGTTTCAGTGATATTTATTCAGCTAACATACAAGAGAAGCAAAATAAAGTAGCACAACTAACATGTCCCTTCTTCTACCTTCAAAAATAAAATGTGAAACACTCTGAGTAAAAGAAATACAAAGTATAGAGCAAAATTGCATAATCCTATATATATAAGGGGCGGGGGAACCTTAACAACAACATTTAAGTCTCTGTAGTAATGTCTAAATGCAGGTTAACATTACATAGCGCTTATGGAAAAGTTCCAAAACAAATTTGCAAAAGGCAAACTTTGCACACACAAAAAAAGCAGGCAATTTTATTTGGTAGAAAAATAAAAGATCATTTTGATGGTTAAAATATCAGACATTAAACATCATTTCCAGCACTGAGCACTGCATCCCTTTTGCATTAAGGGCAAAATTAAGACTACGTTTCGCCCTGAGTATGGTGCAGTGTGCAACTGTGGAAAGGAAGTGTGACTTGGAGAGTGACAATTCCTTCCCTGCCTGTCCTGTTTGCTTGGGGGTGGGGTGGGGAGGGAAGTAATCTACTGGGTTTTAGCAGATGGAGATCACTTTCTCCCATGTTGGCTCTGTTGTGCTGCCTGGAGCACTGGGATTAGAGACTTACTATGTGCTGTGTCTACAAGACATAATCAAGCCTCAGTGATGAATTACTGTTCTTTTACAAGCAGATATACTAATTATATTTTTTATTATACTGGAATTTTCCTTTGACCTCCAAAATTATCAGTCTTCATATATATCAGATGCTATAGGTTAAGTTTATAGACGCTTCGTGTCCGATTATAGTTCACAGCAGTTTATTGATAGTTAATATAATTATTAACTTTATTTTCTTCATGGTTTTTATAGGTGAGTGTATTGCCACTGGCCTCATGCAACTTCTGAATAATGTATTTTTTTCTATTCAATCCAATAAAATAAAAACCCTGTGCAATGCTTCTTCTGCAACCTTAAATTCAAGTCCAACATAATACCTAGCACTCATAACACTTTACAGCTGTAGAAAATTGGCTGTCTATGCTCCTCTATTGTCAGTAACTAGCAAAATTGAAAATGTTCCATGGGAACAGTGGAAAGAGACCTTTAGTTTGCATTGGAAAAGAGGAGACTAAGGGGGGATATGATAGAGGTATATAAAATCATGAGTGATGTGGAGAAAGTAGATAAGGAAAAGTTATTTACTTATTCCCAAAATACAAGAACTAAGGGTCATCAAATGAAATTAATAGG